GCCAAAGATTTGTGGTACTTCCAAAAATCAAATTCAACTTTTTCTTCATCTTCTGAAGAAGTTGACGAAGCCGTTGCGGCAGATTTATATTCAGAAATGAATTTTCTAATTCGAGATATTGCTTTCATACATGCTTCCGGTTTTTTAAAGTGCAAGTTCTTTAAACGCGGATCTAGCAATGTAGAAACGACTAACAACATGTTTTATTCAAGCTGGCTGAAACGCTTTTCTATTTCCAGCGTAATATTTGTCTTCAATTCGTCAGCAATAGCCGAAGTCAACCTCAATTCCTTGTATTGGTCAATTGCACAACTCACCATGGGTACAATTTTAGAAATTGTGGCGTAACGTTCGGCAGAAGCCTCTCTTGTCATAGTTTCCAGTGGAGGCATAACATAAGCAACATCCTTTGTAGTGTTGAGTTAAATTGCTAACAATATTGTGGCTGCATCTATTTTACAAAAAAAATGTCACTTATACATGGCGCCAAATCCAAAAATCGTTCAAGCATATAGTACAGGGAATTCCATCCCGTTTTTACATCAAGTATCACTTTAAGAGCTTTTCCATCGGGTATTTTATTTTCTATTTGCTTTCTTTTTAATTCCAATGCCATGTCTTGTCTCTTTTTTACATATTTTACCATATATTGAAATAATACTAATTTTTTACGGAATTTATCGCGTATATTTAACTTTTTTACCCGACGTTTCGAGAGCTTTACAGCACCCATGGTCACGGGAAGGACTGAGATGTTCAACGTCCAGCTGTCATAGTTAACCGCGGTTACCATAGATTAAAATTTAACTTTTGTTCCGATCTACACAGTATGAACTTATGGTATCATGGAGTCTTGCAGTTGTATGCTTGGGTTGGGATTTAATTTTATCTATTATGGGATCCCAAGCAGATGGTAGCACCCAGCCATCTTCTCTATTGAAATTAGGATGTTTTTTGATTTCAATAGCCTCGCGAATCATCCTTGGAAGGAATCGGTGTTCATTAGCGAGGATTGCCTTCTAGTTACAATTGAGATGCAGTCTTCAGCAGGTAAGCATGTAAACAATGACTGCACATCAAAACTGACCATAGTTTCATTGTCTGCAAGACGTAGGTCTTTAATCTGGCTGACAAAATGGTAGGAATCCTTTATGTGTGCTCTTGTATGTCCCCTGAGCGGTGAGAGTATTTTCGCTAAGTGTTGAGCCAATCAGTAAGTTGGTGAATCGATTTGGCTCACTATGGGGCGTAATGGAGCATTGGGCTTGTGTATTTTTGGTAACCCATACAACTTTGGTGCTTTGGCGCACGTAGGTATTATCCATTTTACGTCCAGATTTAATTTTTGAGTGTTTCTTTATGAGGTCACTAGTTGTTTTTAGTGTGCTATTTGTTGGGTCGTTTTTAACCTTTTTTATAAGTACTTACATCCGACAAAAGTCCTTGTATTTTAGAATTATAATCTGACGTATCCATGACCACCGTGGCGTTTCCCTTATCTGCGCGGAGAATCGTAAGTTCTGGTTTATTGCATAGGTTCTTTAACCCTATAAATTCGTCTCTGGGAAGATTCGGTTTAGGCACTGAACATCGACGTAACATAGACGAAATGTCTTGACGTATCGCCTCCAAATCTTCTTTCCGCATATTGTTTTTAAATAAACAGTCCTCGACACTACAGATAATTTCTTCGTACGGTAATCTGCGTGGAGTTATAGCGTAATTTAGTCCCTTGGATAAAACCTTTATTGTTGCATCATCCAGTGTTTGTTTTGACAGATTATAGAACGCGATTAATCTATGATCTGTGTTTGTCAATTGTTGCTTTTGGTTCTGGCATTGATTCGAATGTTTGACATTTGATTTGGCCGTTAATTTTTTATATTTTTCTATATGTTTGTTTTTGCATTCGTTATATTTACTAATTTCGCGTTTATTTAATGTTTCCATGCAAAAATTATAATCAAACGTCGTTAAAACTTTCTTTAATTCACTGGATGATGTGTCTATGGATTTATTTATGTCATATAGATCGGAGCGTTTTTGTTGGATAACCGCCCGTAACAACTTTTTTACTTGCCTGATTTAAGATCTTAGCGCTTCCTCGAATGTCCTTTTTGGTGGATATTTTGACACACGTAGAAATGAGATTATGGTCTCGGCATCTCTTCAAGAAATTTAAGGCTGTTAGATATCTTGCGCACTTAGTCTTTAGATCTTCTAATCGGCGTATTTTATTTGCAATTACCAGTCCGTACTGGTTTACATAATGATTTCTTATATTTACGCGAACACTACACATTGAAGTAATACTAATTTTTTACGGAATTTATCGCGTATATTTAACTTTTTTACCTGACGTTTCGAGAGCTTTACAGCACCCATGGTCACGGGAAGGACTGAGATGTTCAACGTCCAGCTGTCATAGTTAACCGCGGTTGCCATAGATTAAAATTTAACTTTTGTTCCGATCTACACAGTATGAACTTATGGTATCATGGAGTCTTGCAGTTGTATGCTTGGGTTGGGATTTAATTTTATTTATTATAGGATCCCAAGCAGATGGTAGCACCCAGCCATCTTCTCTATTGAAATTAAGATGTTTTTTGATTTCAATTGCCTCGCGAATCATCCTTGGAAGGAATCGGTGTTCATTAGCGAGGATTTGTGGTCTATCAAATCTGATGTAGTGACGGGGGCTATCTTGTACATGTTCACAGACTGCAGACTTCCCGGAGCGTCGATTCTTCACATCAGCTATATGTTCTTTGACGCGGGTTTTAATTGATCTTTTAGTTTGTCCTATGTAGGAGAGACCACATTCACAATCAAGCTTGTACACTCCTGCATCTTGCAGAGGGACGTTACACTTGACTGATGGTAAAAACTGACCAATCTTCTTCGGCGGCTTGAAGTATGTTTTGATGGAAGCGCGCTTCAAGATGTAGCCAATCTTGTCAGTGACTCCTCTAACATATGGCAGTACAGCAGGTACACGCTCGACTGTGGCCGGCTTCACTCGTTCTCTGTGACGTAGGCACGGGACCCGAAGCTTGTTGTCATGCAAAACTTGCTTGACATGTTGGAGCTCGGCAGCCAGGTGTTTACTGTCACAGATCCCTCGTGCTCTCTGAAACAAAGATTTACCCACGGTAGCTAACTGTGAAGGATGGTGGTGAGAATCACCGTTTAAATATCTATCTGTATGGGTCTTTTTTCGATACACAGTATGGCTCAAGGTGTTATCAGGATTCCGAATTACTAACACATCTAGAAAAGCTAAGGAATTGTTTGCCTCTAACTCCATTGTGAACTGAATTTTAGAATTTATAGAGTTAAGATGGTCTAAAAATGCAGTTACTTTATCTAAAGGTAGAATTGTGAAAGTGTCGTCTACGTACCGCTTGTAGAATCTTGGATTTATGGGAGAAGTAAGCAGGGCTTTCTCCTCAAAGTCTTCCATGAATATGTCGGCGACAATGGGAGATACAGGTGAGCCCATCGCCACACCATCTACTTGCTTGTAGAACTCCTCCTTCCACAATAGGTAGCCAGATGTAAGGCAGTGTCTGAGTAATACTGCATATTCTACGGGCATGTTGTTTTCTTCCAGCCTTCTAGTTACAATTGAGATGCAGTCTTCAACAGGTAAGCATGTAAACAATGACTGCACATCAAAACTGACCATAGTTTCATTGTCTGCAAGACGTAGGTCTTTAATCTGGCTGACAAAATGGTAGGAATCCTTTATGTGTGCTCTTGTATGTCCCCTGAGCGGTGAGAGTATTTTCGCTAAGTGTTGAGCCAATCTGTAAGTTGGTGAATCGATTTGGCTCACTATGGGGCGTAATGGAGCATTGGGCTTGTGTATTTTTGGTAACCCATACAACTTTGGTGATTTGGCGCACGTAGGTATTATCCATTTTACGTCCAGATTTAATTTTTGAGTGTTTCTTTATGAAGTCACTAGTTGTTTTTAGTGTGCTATTTGTTGGGTCGTTTTTAACCTTTTTTCTAAGTACTTACATCCGACAAAAGTTCTTGTATTTTAGAATTATAATCTGACGTATCCGAGACCACCGTGGCGTTTCCCTTATCTGCGCGGAGAATTGTAAGTTCTGGTTTATTGCGTAGGTTCTTTAAATGTGTCTTTAAGAGTGAAGCCGGCCACAGTCGAGCGTGTACCTGCTGTACTGCCATATGTTAGAGGAGTCACTGACAAGATTGGCTACATCTTGAAGAGCGCTTCCATCAAAACATACTTCAAGCCGCCGAAGAAGATTGGTCAGTTTTTACCATCAGTCAAGTGTAACGTCCCTCTGCAAGATGCAGGAGTGTACAAGCTTGATTGTGAATGTGGTCTCTCCTACATAGGACAAACTAAAAGATCAATTAAAACCCGCGTCAAAGAACATATAGCTGATGTGAAGAATCGACGCTCCGGGAAGTCCGCAGTCTGTGAACATGTACAAGATCGCCCCCCGTCACTACATCAGATTTGATAGACCACAAATCCTCGCTAAAGGACACCGGTTCCTTCCAAGGATAGTGTTCAAGTAGTGTTCGCGTAAATATAAGAAAACATTATTTTACTATATTCCTAACATGCTCTATTATATCACTCAGTCCGGAAGTTTTCTTATGGCCTCTTCAGCAACTCTATTTATCACGTGAGCATAACATGGGATATGTTTGTGTGCCTCAAACGTCTCTCTTATTGCTTTAATCATATTTGCGCCAGAATCAGTAACGAAAGCTATAACTTTTTCACTATCTATATTCCAACTTCTTAATATTCCTGTCAATTGTTGTCCAATGTACTCGCCAGTATGACTTTCTTCTAATTCGAAAACTCCAATAGTCACAGATTGTAATTCATTCTGTTGCAAAAAATGAACAGTTAGTCCCAGATAACCAGTGTTAGTCAATGTCTCTGTCCAAATGTCTGTAGTTAAACTAAAGTGATCCACATTTTACAATTTCTCCGCCACAATTTTTGATTATGTGTCATACTTTTTATCAATCTTTGCCTTAATTATTTCCCGACAAGGCTTTTTATACAAAGGGGCTAGTTCCTTAATCAAATGTCGAAAACCTTTTCCTTCAACCGCATAAAACGGCCTGTTATCAACTGCAATAAAATACGCAATAGCATCTGTTATCCGGTCGTATTTTGCACCACCTTTAGAATATTGATACACATTTTCAAAAGCCTGTTTTATTTTCGGAGTGTTTGCAGATGTATTAGGAGTAGCGGGCTTAGTTGTAGGGAACACAACCACAGCAGACGAACAAGAAGCTTCAAAAATATCAACTGACGTTTCAGGGGGTTTAGCACTTTCGTCCGATATTTGAAGATTAACGCTGACTCCAGCACTTCTAAACAAACTAGAAAACGTACCATCACATTCAGTCAACTTACTGAAAAAGAAAAAAAAACAACGATACTTATTTTTATTTTGCTAGACTAAATATATAATTTTTTTTGTCATATACAACCATTTGCATGCTTAGGTATATTTTGTCAAAAAAAATTATATCCATTTATATATTCGCGTTATGTATCCGCTTATACCGATATGGATATATTCAATCGTCGATAGTCCACATAATACTAAAGATAAACCGAATGATAACCTAAAAATTTGTTTTAAATATCATTCCATCAAATATAACCTAAATTATATTAAATTGTATATTCATAGTATTTTGTGTTTATTAACTGAGAAACTAGCGACATACCGTTATTTTTATTTTATTTTTATTTTTATTATTCACAAAATCCACAACTTGTAACAATCTATTTACACACAAATCTTATAAAATAAGTCTTGAAGCCAATTACGGATTTACAATATACTTATTTAGCTTAAAAGAACGTCACAGAGTATTCACCACCTTACTTAAAAAAAGATGTATGAAAAATAAACATATTTAAAGGTAAACAAAGCGCACGAAATTTGTTTAAGTGCAGAATATTGTGAATGTTTGCACACGTATGTGAAAGTGAGTCAAAAGTGTGTACGTGTGTGTGTGTGTGTGTGTGCGTGCGTGTGTGCCTGTGTGTGTGCGTGTGTGTGATCGATACAAATTTTAATGAAATAACGATATTTTAACATAAATAAATATACGTTATAAATATAGACATGATGTATGTAAATTATAGCGTATATTTATGTATCCAATTAATACCTGCTACACAAACTTTCTTGTATTTATATTGTTATTGCTAGTTGCTATTTAAATTTATAGATTAGTTTATAATTTGACATATTTTTGCAAATTACCTTGGCAACTTCACGTTTGATTGAAGGTTTACTAGAGTGAAAGATATCAATTGTATTAAATGTTTTATTATAAATTCTGTGAAGCTTATTGACAATCGAATTTTGAGCATAGTTAGTTCTTTTAAGGGCAGTACCAAAAAGTGTCGTATGTCTAGTTCGTTTATTTGGAACACAAAAACTTAAAATTTGTAACGCTAATTCACAACAGTCTATGTAGTTATTACATATGCCGTGTAGGAAGGACATATCCATTAAGGTTCGTCTACTTTGAAGAGGCATGAAATTATAGCGGAGACTAGATTCGCTATCATCTGAAAAGTGACAAGAAAAACGAAAATGTAGGTGCTTTAAAAATTTTAACTCAATATTCTCTAGCTTTTGAATATACGTCACATATTGAGGATTCCATATTATACTATTATACAGAATACTTCTGACATATACAAAGTATAGTACTCGTAAACATCCAATGTCTGAAAAGGGCTTACTGACTCGTAAAACAAAACATAAATTTTTGTATGCTTTCGCGACTATTGTATCGATATATTCGGAAAATGTTAATTTTGAATCCATTTTTACCCCTAGATCAAGTACACTATAAAGTAAAATTATTTATTTTATTGTATTTAATTGGATTAATTTTTTCTAGTGAATGATACAAAACAACATTTCTTTAAATTAATACCAATACGATTTTCAATATAATAAGAGTTTAATCTATCTAGATCGGCTTGAAGGTTACTACAATCAGTAATCCCATTAATTTTCATAAAGATTTTTGTATCATCAGCATACATTAAAAATTTTGCATGTTTAAAGCATCTACGAACATCATATAAGTACGTGGCATATAACAAAGGTCTGTAATGTTGGGAGGTTCGAGGAATAAATTAAACGTCTGGCGGTCGTGAATGTAGGTTTATTACTAACTCTAAATGTCTATTAGGCTATCACATATATAGCTACATGAGCATACACTAAACACACACTACACGCCCATCGGCAAAAAAAGAAAAAAAAATTGAATTACAATTTTTTTTTTCAATAAAACAAAACTTGGTGTAAGATTCAAAAAATTATTAACTATTTAAAATATTAAAATTCCTATCCTATATTAAACTTATAACATAATAAAATAAAATAAAATATCGTAAACACTGTAATTTGAAAAAAAAAAATAACTTTCTATCTCTTTATTTAAATTTATTAAACTGTCATCAAATTTAAGTCTAATCTAAGTTTTTGTTTTAAATTGCTTTTAGGTTGCCTATCATAACTGCATAACATTTAAAATTTTTATATATAACTATTAATTCACTAGACACGAAAATACAGTTAAAAAAATAAAGTTATCAAAATTATTATAAGGCGTATATAAGGTTGTTTACAATATTATTATTTTCTTAAACTTAAACTATATTTTTAAATTTAAACCTTAAGATACTTTAAAGGTAAAAAAACCAATTCCATTAAAATAGTAAGTATCCTTATTTTTAAGTAGATAAACTTCAACATACTTATATAAATCACACTGTAGTGTTAGTATTACAAACATTACTAGCACTATGCTTACATAAGGGCCCTACTAAATCTAAATAAACTATATCAAAGCGGAATATGCCGTATCGGTTATAACTTATAACCATTGGTTCCTTTATATATTTATTTAAGTGTTTATATATATATAGCAAACACTTGTCGCATCGATTTACATAATTAGGTAACGTTACTAATTATGTATATATAGTCTCTAACTCCGGTCAAAAAAATCTTTTCTTTGTATTGTTTATCATTCGCTTTTAGGTACGCGACCGTTAGTTGGCGAAATATGATAGTCGGTTAATATCACATGTTTTGTTTCACGGCGGTTCTAGTGCAACATAATCATAATAATTAATCATAACAACAGGGATCAAATACAACTTACAATCTCAGCCGCGTAAGCGGTTTGTGACACCTTTGTTTTAATTTCTAAGTATGTTCATGTCAACGTTTTTTCGATTACGTTGTGTAATGGTACCTAGTTTTAACCATGCATTAAAATGATATCGTAAATAAAATGAAATTAACTTTCCCAATAGTTTGTACCTCTATATATAGATTGCTACATTCAATTTTAAATTCATTTTGTAAAAGTATTATACTTTTACATAGGTACATTAACAAAAAAATCATTAAGTTATTTATAATTTCGAAAACTCATTTTTTCATGACATGAAATTTATATATATATATATATAAAAAACACTACTAGGTACACAGCTCAAATTTGTTTTACAAATATTTATTAACATTAAAAATAAACAATTTTATTTCAACCAGATAACATAATTTTAGGTTCCGTTGTCTTTTATAAAGAAAAACGTAAAAAGAATACTATTACATTAATAAATTTATAATAATAGTGTATCGATATACTCTGGACTTTACTTTATGAGCAAAATATAAACCAAATATAGTTTAAAATGTACAAATTTTATATAAAAAACATGTAATAGAAAATTCAACCAGAATTATTGTAAATGTAAATTAATGTGTCTAAATATGAAAAAAATTTCGTAAATTCATAAACAAATGTGGTTAAACAATTACGCGCACAATACATACACACACACAACACATTTTGCGTAATTGTGTAAATCGATCCCTATAGTTATTAAATGTGTAACTCGTTAGTCGCATTTTGGGAAGCATTAATGCAAAATAACTACCTATCTCACTATTAGATTATCATACATTTATCACACTTTTTAATTTGCTCGGAAATTCCCTTATAATCCTGTATTTTTGTCGATTAATAGGCCCTTTTTCCATAATTCTTGTACGTACTTTATTTATTCCTAATATTTTGACCTTTAGCTAGCTCTCTTTCTCTCTATTCACTTATATGTTTATTTATTTATTAGATACCGGGAATCGGAGTATTAATTCATTTCATTTATATTTTATTTCGTGATTTTTATCACGCGGGTACTTTATAAATATGGGCCCCCCATTTATTTGGGTATTATATTACATTTTCGTAACATTCATTTCATTTTATTGGTACATAAACTTTTTTTTTTATATCAAGGTAAAATTTACCTTGGGTTGTGCGCACAACCTTGAGGTCTATGTTTTTTAAGTCACTTTAAAAGGACTCCAACAATTGTCACAGAGGAAAACTAAGTTCGCACCATGATCCAACGAAGGATGTGACCTCAATGCACCATTAATAAGGGTAACAAATTTAAGACTTCTCTGGTCCCTAACAGTACTAATATGAGTAAACTCAGTTACATCACTTGTACTGAAGGCGTTGTTCCCTAGTACCCGTTACTCCGATTTCATCGTCCAATCACGGAAACATACCCTGCTCGAGGACTATATGCTATACCAGTGATGAACGTTCCCGTATCTCTCCATCATTTATTTCTGATGGTCATCTTTTTTGTTATCTTCGTAATCTTTGTCTGTATCGGATACTTTTATATTCATTCAATCTCATTCCATCTCCTTTCAACTAAGCATATCGGTTTATTAACCTAACCAGAGTTTGGGCCCTAACAGCTAAGATAATATCCGATAGCGTAATTCCTTCATTCCAATTACTAGCAAAATTACTGCATAGTTCCTGACAATTTATCTAAATATCACCTATATCATCCTGCATACTATTATATTCCTTTCTTTGCCGAAATCTGTCTTCAACTTTCACACATTCATATCAAAACCTCAACATTCTTCAAGAACAAAAAATTAACACAACCACAATTATTCATTGGTTGATCTAGCCGATTACAAAAATAGTTAAGCTAATGTTTTACTGTTACTTTTTACTTAACTATCTTTCTTTTCAGATATAAACACCATGCCAATATATTTGAACACAACCTATACAATATACAATTTCCTTTCTATAATTTAACACTTTTTTTTCTATCCTTTTTTTTACTTTTTTTGTGCAAACAGTTCTTTGTTTCAGTTCCTAAACTAACATAGTAAGATATTATGTTATATAGTAAGGGTTGGCAACCCTATCTATAAAACCCAACGAACATTACAAGCCTAATTTTGTTATACCTTAATTAATTATATGTGTGAAATGTTCTTAATAAATGTTTCTTCGCTTCTTTCAAAGTGAACTAGTG